CTTTGTAACCTTATAGTCTCCACAGTTTTAGAAAAACAGATCAAAAATTTGACTGCAGAGACACAGATGCTCAAAATGAAAAATGAGGTGCTGGAGACACAGAAGAAAAACCTAACAGAAATAATGCAACAGATGTCGACATCATGGAGTGACTTCAGTGTTAGTCAAGCTCAATGGAGCAACATCAGCTACAGAGCAGGAACAACAGGAAGCGCAGCTTTAGAGGACTCTCATGTTGTGTATTTAGGTTTTTATGCAGATCACTGTTATTTTAGTGTTGTTATCAAAGTTTTGATTGTATTCATTTACATCTATCTTCTTGTAATTTTATTTTTCCCCACATTAGTTTAGTTAATTTTCAAAGTAAATTTATGCTTTTTGTCTCAGTAGTTATTTCAGTATAATAAACCAAATTATTAAAAACTTTTGCCTGAAAGTCTGCTGGAATATTCATATGGTAGGCTCAGAATTTGGCATAAACAGCATGAAAATATGGATCCAACCTGCCCTGTATCAGCAGTTCAGACTGGTGGTGTCAAAATAATGGTTTGAGAGGTATATTTTCATAGCACACTTGGTGTCCTTTAATGCCAAATGAGTATTGATAAAATGAGTATTGTTGCTGACCATGCCCATCTCCTCATGGCAACAGTACACCCATTTTTGTGATGGCTGATTCCAGCAACATAGTACATCATGTGAGTTCACTATAGTCAAATAGCCCCCATAGTCAACAGGTCTCTATTTCAATAGAGCACTTTTGATAGAGTCTTACAAATCTGCAGTAACTGTTTGAAGGTATCATGCTAATATGGACTCAAGTGTCTATAGATATTTATATAGGAAATATTTCAAGTATCCTCCACATAGAATTAAGGGAGGTCTGACCATAAAAATGGCTCCAACCAGGTATTACTGTGGTGCACTTGATAAAGTGTTTTCTGAGTGTATATAAGAACATACAAGGGGCAGAGTGAGAACTATGCCTCAGAAATGTTCAAACAAATAAATAATTCCCATCAACAAATAGATATGTGTGAAAAAAAGACTGACAATCTGGTCCCTATTGACATGAGATATGTTGTTACCACATGCTCACATCTAACTGACAATTGCATCATACCTTTATGTGTATGATGCACATTAAGATAGTTGTATTTATGTGAAAGGTTAAAATCAGAAGCACTGAGAATAAACAGTTTAAAAGATTTTCTTATTGAAAATGTATATCCTGTTTTAGTTTTAGATATACTAAAATCATAAAGAAGATTGTTTATTGGGAGGCAAAATAATTTTATTCTGAGTATTTTTATATGTATTGAAAACTATGAGTCACCTCAAATGGTTCCATGGCTTCATGGAGCTATTGGTATTTTATGTACAGAATATATCTGATCTGCAGCAAGCAGATAAAAACAAAATTCTAATTTCCCCATTTGCTGTTTTGAGGAGGCAGACATTCTCTCTAGATTACATTTTTATATTGAGTAATGCACAAATAATTTTTCGATTTCCAGTTCCCAAGGATAGTTTTCTTCAAGAGGTATATAAGGCATTCAGAACTATGTTTGCTGTATGCACATCCATAGATAATTCACTTACCTGACCTAAGACTCACAGTGAGGTAAGGTTGGAAAACAGCAACTAAACCATGTGCATAGGTATTCATATATACTCTGCCAGAAACTCTGAACAGGCGTACAAGACCTTAGAGCTTGCATAGTTCTCAGATTAAGGAATTTAAACACATTTGTGTTGAGAAGTTTTTATCTTGAGGGATTGATCTTGCTCCCATTTTGCAGTTGGGAAGGAAATTGAGTCATCTATTTTAAAAATAACCTCAGTTCAGTTGATTGGTATTAAATCTTGCCTGTGTCACAGGTGCCTCTGTCAGTGCGCCCCAGGGTGGCTGTGGCTACAATGTAGCTTGCCATCACCAGTTGTGTGACTGTGTGTGTGAATGGGTGGATGACTGGATGTGTAAAGTGCTTTGGGGTCCTTAGGGACTAGTAAAGCGCTATACAAATACAGGCCATTTACCAATCATTTACTGATATTCAAGAAATTTACTGTTGCTGATTTCATAATTTGATACATGTTATTGGAATTAAGTAAAGTTTCTGTCTTGAATAACATGTTCTAGATTTTTTACATTTGTAATTCTTTTCTCGTGCCACGAGGGAAAATGTTGCATTTTCTTTTTCTGATATCTAGACTCCAAATGGGTGTTAGTTTACAGAGGATAAGTGAAGATTTAAAACAGTTTTAAAGCAGATTTCTACTCTTCAACTGAGTGCTTGTTCTAGCCCTAACCATGAGCTCTCTAAAAATCTTTGTTTTGACCTATTTTTAAAACATACTGCATTTGAGATGTTTGAGTGTAGTGACTTAAACCAAGAAATAGAGGGTTTATTAGGGATCAGCAAGAAAAAATTATTTTTGAGACGGGTAAAGTTTTCCAACAGGTAAAATCATCCTCTACCATTTTTAGCAAACAAATGTGATTCTGGAAAAAAATCCTCATTAAAACGATTGCTCTTCCCCTTTTTCTCTTGATTGGCAGCTCCATAATCAAAATCCTGTGTCCAATGTATCCACTATCCCTCTCATAACCATGTAAGCCTGGTCAGACATAACTTAACTCATTCTGACCCTTTGTATACTTCTGCATCATCCTCTTTCCCATATTTTCATGGTATGGCTCATAAAGAAAAAAGAAAGACTAGACTTATACTACAATATTTTACCAATTGCCAATAAATAACGTTAGCTGTAATAAAAAAAATTTATTCTTCCCTGCTCGTGAACGCAACGTCGTGCTCTAGTTCAACAGTGCTAGCGTTTCTACTGCGACTGCGCGAATTGTCTCCCGGAAACAGTATGGTTGTTTTGGTGTCTGCTAATGTTGTAGTCATTTGATAAAAGGCAGAGGAAAACTTTTACCGTGGTAGTTTTGGCTGTGGGATCAACACCACGTATTAGCATTATCTTTACTATGTTTTTTCCGAGTTGATAGAATGAACAGTGCCAACAGAGAAAAGCAGATATTTTGTTTGTAGACATTTTATAGGTAGCTAACGGTTAGCTAGCCTGTTCTGGCTAACTGAGAGATTGTCACTCTGTCAACAAGTTTCGTTCGACATGGACTCCGCGGCGCTGGAACTTGATGCTGTCACTTTTGCCAAAACAGCTGTAACATATGACCAGAATGGCAAATATAACGAGGCTGTATTTTATTATAAGGTAAGTGCCAATAAGTTTTACCTGTATACGTATGCTATTTTTCAGGGTTAGCATTTTGCTAATCTTAGAAGTTCAAACTCACTTTCATTTCTGTAATAGCCGCAGGATTAGATTTAAGAAGTCTACTACTTCACGAATCAACAGTTTACAGATATATTTGGTCAAAGTTGAGGGTTGCTAGTGTCCCTGGATGCCAGTACTTAGTGACCGGATGTGATACTTTTCTAACCGCTGCCTCTTTTATGTTTGATTTCCATAGGAGGCAGCTCAGGCCCTCATTTATGCTGGCATGGCAGGGTCCAAACTGGACGGGATCCAGGAGAAAGTGAATGAGTACTTGGATCGGGTTCAAGCCCTCCACAATGCAGGTAAGCTCACCTCACAATAGGCACAAAGGGTTTTGCTTCTGATGGCTTTTCAGATGACTTACAAATGAAGGCTTAATGTGAAATATAAATCACATAAAAGCTACTCTAGTAATATAGAATGAAAATATAGACCTGGAACTGAATATACTCCCATTTTAATTAATGTATGGATAGCTGGAAACTATTATAATAAACACACTCCACATGTTGTTCATTAAACTTGTTGTCTAAAAGACACTCATTATCCTGTTTTACTGGAGTTGTTGATTTATCTTGAGCAACACCTTTAAAGAGGTGAAGTGTTTAATGGGTAAGAAAATGTTTCTCTTTTTTACTGAAAAGGACAGTTTCTCAGTTTCTGTCTGACCAGTTTTTTCCATGACTCTCCTCATGCTCTTGATTTGTGTGTTCACATGGGTGTGGCCACAGAATGTACAAGAGTCCTGTTACCACTAGATGATTTGTAATGCTGGGTATTGCTGTTTAGTGATTTCGATGATATGAAATGTAGAAATTTATTGCTCTTTTTTTCTATCATCTTTCTATCATTTATCCAGAAAGCTACCAAAAAAATCACAACTAAGTTAACTTAGCACCTGTCTGAGCCAGCATTAACAAAGAATAATAATTACTTCATGACATTTTTAAAGGTGGAGTTTTTGTATGCTGTTGTATTAAGCTGCACCAGTAAACTTACTAAACTGATAGTTTAAGTACTATTTCTGCACTGTTAAAGAGATTAAAGGTGGCTCAAGAAAAGTTGTTGGAAGGTTAAATTCTGTTTAACTTACTGAATACAATGAGAGACAAATATGGGCAGACAGTACTTAAGATGAGTCTTTGGGTCAGATAGGAGAGACTAGGGAGCATTAATCTCCTTATCTAGTGTCTGGTCTTAATCTGGACCTGTCCAACAAGTCTTTGGTATTTTTTCCTGCATGTTGTTCAGGTTTTAGCCAGAGACAAAGAAAAGCAGCTGTTTTGTAATGAAGATATTCATATTTCCAACTTTCATCTTGAGTTTTCATTTACTCAAGTATAATGTGCTAAAAACAGGTTTGGATGACTTGGTGTCCATTAAAAATCCTCTACGTAATTAATACTCCATGGGAAAATGGATTAGGTCAAATTACCTGTTGTCTTAACCATTCCTTCCTTTGACCTTTGACATTAGTTCAAGCACAGAAAAGTGACCCACTGAAGTCCCGGCACCAGGTGGACCTGGAACGTGCCCACTTCCTGGTTACCCAAGCCTTTGAGGAAGATGAAAAGGGAAATGATGATGAAGCTATTGAACTGTACACTCAGGCTGTGGAGCTGTGCATTAAAACGGTTAGTCTCTCACTAGGCCCCTTTCTGTTTTTCATTATGTCACTCACTGACTTACACTTAGACTTCCCTCATATTATCCCTACTCATGCTCACATTAATTCCTCTTCCTGATTTCTTTTGTTTGTTTTGTTTTCACCAGTCCAATGAAACATCTGAGCAAGTGCTGCAGAACAAACTGAAACAGCTGGCACGTCAAGCTTTAGACAGGTACATATAAAATGGTCCTGATTTTGTGTTGTAAACTAGAATGTTCATCATTCATTTTAATGCTCTAGAGCTTTTTGTTTTAATGTTGTTGTTTTCACTTTTTGCATGTTAAAAAAACAAACAACAAAAAAACTTCTTCCACTATATTTTGCCAGAGCCGAAGGTCTTAAAGAATCCCAGTCCAAATCGGCTTCAGCTCAGGACAGGACAGGGGCTCCTGGAACCAAGCCCAGCACTGGTGCCAGTTCAGGAGGACCTGTCCGCCAGTTCCTCCCTCTTGGGCCAGACTTCAGCCTCAATGACCGACAGCAATCCCAACCTGTCCGGGCTGTGCAGTCCAGTGAGCCCCAAGGTCAGCGCTACACATCTGAGGAGATCGAGGTACTCAGGTGAGAAGGCTCACTGAATATGTCATAAAGGCCAATGTTTCCGGGTATCCCTTTAGTATACCCTTCTAGTTGCTGAAAAATTTTAGAAAGTATAACATTTACATTTTTTTTAATGTAGTTTTGTGCTAAATCACTGCACCAGGTGGCAAATGAAATAACTGCCTCAGCCTTTAATAAGATTATTTTGAAATCTTTGGATGCAAAAGATGCCTGGAAAACTTATATAGGGCCTTTTAATGCCCTAATGGTTTTATCCTTTTTAAATATGTAAATACTATTGCAAAAATATGTGTCAAAGCTTTTCTATTTCATTAAACTTGTGCTTTATTTTCAGGAGTACATCTACAATCAATGGCATAGCCTACGTGCCCTTCATGAGCGTGGACCTTAAAGAGCGATTTGCCTTTCCTGTACCTTTCTCGTGAGTTTGCTTTATTGTTTGCAGTCAGTTTTTATAATAGTAACATTATTTCAAAGCTAATACAAGCCTCACTGAGACATTCAGGAGAGAAAAGTCATGTGCAGATGTATGTATTTTGGAGACAGTCTTAAGATTTGTAGAAACTGCAGTATCTGTTTCTTGACACATTCAAGGGAAGGATACCTGAAACACTAAACACTAAAACACTTTTGCTTTGAGATGTGGTTGTAAGAAGTTTTTCCAGGTTAAATTTGTATAACAAATGTGGGTTTTTTTAGTAGAAAACATTACATATATGAAGCTTTGGTCCAATGCATGTGGGAATTACTGACAGAAACTTACTGTAGTTGAAATTTGGTGACATAGAAAAATAAAATGTGTGACTGAATTGGCTAAACACAGTTTTTCTTTTTCTTTTCTTTTTTTCTTCTCACCAGGGACAAATCAGGGAAACTGGCTTTGTCACCCAAACAGAAAGCCATCTTCTCCCGCTGGGTTCGGCCAGATGAGATCTGCAATAACCCCACCATGATCATGTCTGTGTCCAGCTTCAGCATCAAACAGGTTGGACTGGTTTCGTTTTATTTCCACAATCCTCAGTTGATCTGTATTTTGTATTTTCTAAAATCCTTATATTTGAATATTAAATAAAAAATCTTGTTCAAACTTTGTCCTTTACCACAATTATTGTTCTAATGTTGGTTATTGAAGAATCATGCATTTAAAATTAGTGAATTTTTTTTTTGTTTACTGCTTAAATTCATCCAGTAGATGGCACAGTAACACCACAGATAAGCGTTTTTATGAGAGACAATTTAAAAAACCTTTTGATATGTAACTGAACATTGTAAAACTGAACAGTGTAAAAAGTCCAAACTCAGACTTAAAGTAATGGTGATTTTATGCAATGTATTTAAATATATGTAATTATATATTAACCCGTTCACATTGATTTCCTCATTTCATCTTCTGTCCAGACGGTGGTATCTGACTGTTCGTTTGTGGCCTCTTTAGC